CCTGTAAAATTTGCAAAAAATATTTCTTTAAAATAATCACTTAGTTGCGACTTGCCCTGTATATCGCGAGTTTCTCATTGTCCCTCGTCGTTATTTTTTCGGAAAACGTTTCCACCAATTATCGCGGATTTACTAGACTATCGTCGTTGATCTTCGCAGGACACGTTCCCCGGTTCCCGCAGGAAATCCCGGTATTTGCGGGCTTATCCCGATCTGTTTTACTCTCTACTTTTATTGTAACACTCCCTCGCCTCGTCTTCACGTCGACGAGATGATCGGTGCTGCAGAAAGCAGATATACACGTACCTTGTCAGCCACGACCCGTCCGCCATGATTGATCGACGCGTTGTCTATTGAAATGTTGCATCGAAGGGCCGAGCGGGAAAAGCCCGACATTAATGAAGTGTGAGGTTATGTCGAGATATTTATCGGCTATACCAAAAGGGTGTATAAATGTATAAAATAAAGGAAAGTACAAAATTAAAATGAAGAAGGATAATAATAAAATAAATACAAATATAAGGTGCGGTGGGTGGAATGCAATCCAATGTTTTTAACACTGTTCTCCTAGTTATTTTCAATATTTTCCTCTCAGAATTTTTAAATAGGATTTTAATTGCAATTTTTTAAAAATATTTATTTATTTTTCAATTTACTTAGGAAAAATGCACAATTAAATTACTGGTTAATACAAAACAAAAATTAAAATTAAAAGCCTAATACAATTTACAATTCTTACAAATATTGTACTCCTTATAAATTTTGTTAAAACATTTTCTCTTTATAACTTGTCTTATAAATATTACATTATATATTTGAAGGAATATATACATCCCCGCGTATTTATTTTTCTCTTTATATGAATTTATCTTATAATTACGTTCTTTCGTACAATCTATTTATTTAATTTGTTTTATTTGTTGACGGTGGATTTTCTCCTTTATTTAGTTTTCTCTTTAAAAAACCGTCGTCGTTTTTTTTTTTTTGAATTATAAAAACACCAAAAATAAAAGTTGACCAATTTAGCATTTTTACATTCGAAACGTAAATTTTATTGCAAATATTTCGAAACCTGTATCTTTAGGCATCCTCAAATTCACCATTGTGTGTTTTAATTCGAAAAAATAATTTTTATAAATTTGATGTAGGTAATTATTTTTGAAAATAACTACCAAAGCAGAAAATATTTTCAAAAAGTATTCCGACCCACATAGACCCTTTTGTTTTTCTTTGTACAATGTTTTAACATTATTTTTATAATCTTCTTAATAAAATTTTTCTATAAACATTTTTCAACACACAAACTACCTTTATAATTTGTTTCATCTGCTGGGAATATTTTCTCCTATATTTAATTTCAAAATTGTCAAGCATTGATTTCCCTTTCATTTAGCAAAGCAAGCCGTCTTTCACCTTCATAGCATTTTTGTAATTTAAGTGCATTTATTTTTTCATTTCCGAAGAAAAACTTTTATCATTTTTTCATTTTTAACAAAACTTCTGGATTGCTCCTGCGTCGGTTTTTGCTGAATCGAACTTGCTGACGTTTCGCCAATCATCCCGTTGGCCTCTTCAGAGCTTTACTGAAACGTCAGCAAGTTCGACTCAGCAAAGACCGAGGCAGAAGGAATCCAGAAGTTTTGTTAAAAATATTACAGTCGCCTGTGGAACACTCTATATTTAGTTATTTTTAAAACAGCTTAATTAAACAGTTTAAGCTATTATCTTAATTCGGGTTTAAAGGCCGTCGTCGGTTGGAATTACTTCCAAACCCGAATGAAGATTATAGCTTATCAACGGGCCGCGAACGCCTTAACCAATTTATCAGACATTTATCAAACAGGATCTACGTCAGGACTGAGAAGGCTTTTCTCCGGGAACGAATTCACCACACTCGTCGTAGCCTTGCGAAGACGGAAGAGGAACTTCTTGGCCTGCACTCGACACTGGGCAACAAGATCGAACAACAGAATTGGGACAGAATGGATGAACTGGACCGCACAAAGGAGCAACAGATAAGGAAGTACGAGAAGTTTGCGAAAAAACAAGCGCCCAAAACAGCAAGCCTAGACAGTGAGCGACTCGTGGTCAGTATGACGGACAGAGTACTCACGGAGGTCGAGAGAACAGTGCTAACCAAAGGAGGGAACTTCGCAATCACTCCCCGTCACATTCCGATTGAAGAGATCATCTCCAGCACGGAAGCAGCCATCAAGAACCTACCGGACCAAGATGCCGAAGAGATACGAATCGAGACAGCCAACATCCTCAGAAAGGCCAAACCACCCAAGACTAACCTGACGAGAAGTGAAAGACTGGCACTGCGTAGCCTGAACACGGATGAGGGTATCATCATACTCCCAGCGGACAAAGGAAACGCAACGGTTCTTCTGAAGACCGAGGACTACGAAAGGAAGATTGAGGAACTCTTGGACCCGGGAAGCTACAAACCCCTGAAAAAGGATCCGACGCAAGCTAGACTACGTCTTACCAACCGGCTCATCAAGTCATCATCAGTCTACGTCCAACATCGGAGATGGAAGGACCTCTGAAGAAGCTCCCCACTCGTGCTAGCGAAACGTTAGGAAGTAATTCCAACCGACGACGGCCTTTAAACCCGAATCAAGATAATAGCTTATCAACGGGCCGCGAAAGCCTTAACCAATTTAAGAGACACATTAATTTAAAAAATATTTTGCTTTGTAAAGACTTTTTGATAGTTTCCTGTTTCTTTGCTTTGAAGAAAAAAAATTCTTTATAACCATATTTTAAATAGTTTCTCTTATGGAACTCAGAACAAACCAAAAATAGTGACGTGTTCGTAGTGCTCTTTTTTGCGATATTTTACCTCCTGGCATTTTCGCAATGTTTTTTTTTCCTTTTAAAAAGAAAGACATCGATTTTTTCATTTTTCAATTTTTAGTGTCAGTTTCTTACCACCCTCTATTTTTTTTTAAACAGCACTAAAAACCAAAACAGCAGTATAATTTTCAGAAAAATATATTATATTATAATAGCGTCGTTTCTGTAGTACTCTTTTGTTTTTTTTCACCATCTTTCGCCATGGAAATGCCACTTTCAAAAGAAAAACTAATAATTTTTTTCATTTTTAAATTTTTAGTGTTAGTTTTTTATCGCTCACTATTTATTTATTTCTAAAACAGCACCAAAAACTAATACAGTAGTACATATTAAAAAAAAAATCGCTGAATAGACTTTTTTAATGCTTTTTCTAACATTCTCGCAGTATCCTCATAATATTTACAAATTAAATTTTCTCTTTATAAATTAAAAAAAAATGTCCTCTTATATTTTTTCATCACTTTACTTATATTCATTTTTAAATAGTTTACTTTTAAAACAAAATATTTTTTTTATAACTGTATTTTAAATGGTTCCTCCTTTGTTTTTTTTTGCCATCTTTCGCCGTCATAGCATATCTCCAATGGAAATGCAAATGCGGGCGGGAAAATGGAAAGGAATTTTATCGCGATTAATGCGGGAGCGCCTTTGAAATTTAAATAACCCTGGCGCGTAACTTATGGCGACCCGAGCTGACCGCTAGGAATCTACATATACCTAATTGGCGCCTCAGACCACAGATTGGCAAAGCGAAAATCATTTACAACACGTTTGTTCTGTATTTTTCACCAGTAATTAGCTCTTGACGGCCTCAGAACGAATGAAATCTATCGCGAACGTATGAGAAAAACCCTAACCTATGAATTTTATGATGCAGAATAATTTGTAGATGTATTATTTATAAATATAGAGGCCGTTTCATTCGTGCCTGATTTTTTATCAAGAAGAATAAGAAAAAACTAGTATTCAAGCAACTAATATTAATTAATTTTAAAATATTTTATTTTATATTTAAAATTTCGGCATCTCGAGCCGAAGCCTAATTGGTTCATTTCTAACCGAGAGGGAACAATACTTTGTTTATGACGATAAAACCTCGAGTACATTGCCAGTGAGAAAGGACTGGATTACAAAAAAGAGCTTAACCCCAAAAGAAGGAAAAATAGTTTCTTTAATCTGAAAGGCACATTGACGACGTAAATAATGAGAATTCATTTTGACCGTAAACTAAATTGGTGTTGCCACACAGACCAAGTCGTCAAAAATTCTCAAAAGAGATCTTTCTAATGCATAGAGGATGTTAGATTGGAATTTGAGGAGCTTAAAATGCTTACACTGCCAAGCGCTTGTATACTTAAATGTCTACTTTATGCTTATGAGAATTAAACAGATTTTTTACATGTGAATAAAGTTCTGCCTAGAAAGCAGGGAATAGGACAACGTCGGAACTGATTTCTTTCGTTTTAATGCTAGTAGGCTAGGTTCAAATTACTACTGAATCCATTTTTTATAAACTTAAGCCCGAGACAAAACAACTACCAATAAACAGGTTCAAAAACTTGGTCAAAATGTTTTTAATAGAGTTTATCTTTTTTCGATGCCTGCAGGAGCGTATGTTTTCAATATTATGTTGTGAAATTGTTATTCCATGTTAAATTTCATTGCCAAGCCATTCTAATATCCACCGACAACTGAGTCCAGTAAAAATTGACAAGACGTTTCAAGTTCCCTATAGGTAAGGTAGCAGTGCCCTGAAAATGGAGTCGATTTTCATTGAGAGAAAATGGGTTTTTTCTTTCTTTTGCTGTCCCCGTTCACTCGAGTGATAGCTGAGGTGTCATCGGGGTTTTCCAATTGGGAATTTTCTTTTTCTCTTTGACGCTCAATTCTTATTTGTTCTTGTGGGTTCTTCCGTCAAAAACAGTGAGGTGTTACCAACACTTCCGGAAAGTCGAAGTTATTTAAAAAATTCTTAGCATTTTATATCGAAAACAAAAATTAAAGTACCTTGCAACTAGATTCAGCGACTCTTGTTTTCAATTGTCATCTGCCATACCATTTCCGCACCTGATCTATGCTTAGGACGAGTCCGAGTTAGGTAAAATACAAAAACTTCAATGGGATGTTGAGATACTTACCATGACCCCGCCCACACCTACAACGTGTAGAATCTGCGACATGAACAGGGCCGACAGCAGATTCATCAGCGTCGTACCGGACAGGTTCCTCAGGTCGGAGAACAAGCTGAAACAAAGTTTAAATCAAAATAAAAGTAATTTTTCTTCTAATCGGATGTTTTCGGAGATACATATTTCCCACGCTTTGAATTTTGACGTGTGTCAATTCTGACAGTCATGTTAGTGAATATATTCGTGTTTTGCGAAAATGTACCCAAAAACTAACGGTCGTAGAAAAAGTATAGTATGCAACACGTTCGGTAAACTTTTTGACTCACTGGTTTATTAAACACTCGCTCCGCTCGTGTCAAATAAACTCGTGAGTCAAATGCCGTTTACCGCACTTGTTGCGTAATATACTATTTTGAAACCGTAAGTTGGTGCCCGTAGGAAAAAGCCACGAAACTCGATTTAGATTTTCTATATCGCAAAAGGCGAGACATTTTCTCCGTTTAAGAGGCGCTTAACGCAATCATCGCCGCGTCGCTTTATAATTTATAGGTTAAGTCTATCAATTATATCTGTGAGCTAAATTAACGAGATGAAGTTACTATCTCTCTTTAACTTTCTTGGTTCTTGGTCTTTAACGACTGTGGTTGACGACATTGCTATAACTGAGACTCGAATATTTAAGTAATAGAAGGGTTTCGGTCATGCAGGCTGCTATTTTGATACAACTCTAACATTAATATTTAATATTATTTAGAAAAAAGTGAGTGGTTGACATCGGGTTTGAACCACGGAACTGTGCGAAGCGAGTATGACGCCATAATAATCCGCGCTAAATCGCCCTTATCGAATGATCAGGCGATGTTTATGTATTTATTATTTGGCGGAGTGCAACGGAACGTTAATTTCCATTGTCATTTAACCGTTATTATTGTAGATATAATAGGTGTATTCCAGACAGAGCGCTTGTGTAGGTAAGTCACTGCACGTGACGTAAATTCTTAGCTATATTGCCACCATAACCATACATAACAATGGTTTGAATATATAGGTTGTCCGGAAAATGTAGAAATTTTTTGAGTTTAAGACACAAAAATGTATTTTCTCACAGGCGTTTCCTAAAGGAGGCCGCTGACAATTTTTTTTTTCTAAACACGATGTTATATAGGGCGAAACTTATCGAAGTTTGAAAGGTATAACAAGTTTAAACACGTGAAATTCTTTTTGTATGTAAGGTGCCAAGAATTTTTTTAAGCCAAAAATTAGCTTATATTTTTTAAAATTCATTCGGCCAAATTTAAAAATTGTTTAATTTGTTTAAGAATTTATTGCTTAATAGTTGTTAGTTATTAGTTATTTTTTACTGCCTTACCACTCAAAACTACGCGACTTATTAAGTATGGCCGTCATCTGTTAATGTTATCAGAGTTTTGTTCTATTGGGACCATTTTCCTTTCTCCAGGCACGTGGGGTGGCCAATATCTCCAAAGTTATCCTATACCCCCCACCCAACCCCCTTCTCGAGTTTTTGTCTGGAACGTGGCGGATTAAAGTTTACGGTCTAAACGGAAAGCCGTTTTTCTTGCGATTTAATTCGCATCCCTTTAAATTTTCCGTGACCGAAGAAGGTGGTGGGGTTGGGGTTGTGGGGGAGATGAATTATCCGCGTTCGGAAATTGTTCCGAAGCCGGAGGGGGAAATTTAATCAAAGACAGAATGCAAACTATTCCGTTCCGGTTTGGTTTTTCAAATTCCCGTTAATTGCTAGGCGAAAACTTCATTCGCGGAAGGGGCAATGCGGCGATGGTCAAGAGGGGTGGTGGGGGAGTGATTATTGTGATTTTTTCTAACGAGACATAAAAATAGTCGAGATATTTATAAAATAAAATAAAAGTAGTATCGAACCTGAACAAATGTGCCATGCTCTCAGAAGTCCTTTTCTATTGTCTCCTTCCACCATTTCACGATTTTGCAGTAGTAGACACACTTACTGACTGAGGAATACCCAGAAGAAAGGAGAAATAAACTAATGCAGAAAAAAAGGCTACCTATTCCCAAGAAAAAAATCAAGATATTAAACACATAAAATTAATTCCCGAAGATGACTTGGAAGTTTGGAGGGAAATTACTACGTTTTTTATGTTTTTTCCGTCGGTCAGTTTCGATGTTCATATTTAAAATGTAAAGTCTGTTCATAGATATAAGAAAGTGATACGAATTAAGGAAAGACCCGGCCAAGCTGTAAGAATGAAATATGGCCGAACAGGTCCTTACTTTGCTTACAATTTAATTATTTGAGGTTTTGTTAGGAAAGATACAATATTTATTTATTTATGTATGTATTTATTTTTAAATATAAAATAAAATTACAAACTATTTTTATTACCTACTTAAATTACTTAACATTATTCACATAATATATCAGTATCACTATCGCTATCATCGCCTGTTCTAATTATTATTTGTTCTATACTATTTGCAATATGGATATACGATTGTTCTGCTTTTCTTTCTGCGTCTGTTTTCGCTGAGTCGAACTTGCTGACGTTTCGCCAGAGCTTGACAGTTTCGGTCACGCTCTGAAGAAGCCAACATGATGATTGACGAAACGTCAGCAAGTTGGACTCAGCAAAAACATACAGAAGGAATCCAGAAGTTTTTTAAAAAGTATTACAGTAGCCTGTTTCTTTGAAAAATTAAAATGAATTAATCAGAATTTGTGTCCCTCGAATTTGGGACATCCCGTATATCCGGTCTAATTTAATTTCGGATACATCGCGTAGCGGCAAAGATGACAGCTAAAAGCTTTCGCCAAAGCGATTGACGTCCCGAAGCCGGCCATTTTTTTTTTGCAGCCGACTTTCACAAAGACTAATAATCCGACTCGACGCGAGTGACGGATGAAAAAAGTAAGTGGGATGGGGGGAGCGGGAGGCGGGTAGGGGTTCGAGTATCCATATTTTAAGCCTCAGCGTTTTCCTGATTAAACTTTTCCGATCGCGATAAGTAATTTTTGCCAGGCTTAAAGTTCGAGAACCGGTTTTGCATTTAAACGAATGTTTTAATGCGGCTCTCCGTTTTGTATTCGTCTGCATTTCGATTCGGACGGCGTCTTATCCGCGCTATACATTTGTTTTTGTTATTAGTTATTTTAATTTTTAAAATGAATATTATTCAAATTTGAAAATTACTGAAATAAATAAATTTGAAATTTTAATTAGTTTTGGGTAGTTCTGGTTACTTCAAACCTTAAAAGTGTTTTTATTCATTTTAAAGTTTCAAATCTGACTTTTTATTATTATTTTTATTAATTTCAAATTTTGAAAATGTTTATATTGATTTTCAAATTCTAAAATTGTTTTTATTCATTTTCAAATTTCATGTGTTTTTGTTCATTTTAAAATTTTAAAAAATGCTTAAATTCATTTTAATTTTTTTTAAGGCATTTTAATTTGTTTTTAAATTGTAATAGTGTTTTCGTTCATTTTAAAGTTTTACATCTTACTTTACTATTTTTTCATTTTAATGGATTTTTGATTTATTTTTATTAATATCAAATTTTGAAAGTGTTTATATTGGTTTTCAAATTCTAAAATTGCTTTAATTAACTTTCAAATTTTAAGAGCGTTACAACCTGTGTTTGTATTGTTTAAATTTTAAAAGTGTTTTTATTCATCTTCGAATTTCAAGTCTCTTTGTTCATTTTAAAAATTTAAAAGGTGCTTAAATTCATTTTAAAAATCATAAAATATTAAAGACATTTTAATGTATTTTCAAATTGTAAGAGTATTTTTGTTCATTTTAAAAGTTTTTTAATCATTTTGAAATTTTAAAAATCTTAAAATTTTAAAAATGAAAATTAATTTTAAAATCCGAAAATTTTAAAAAATTTATTTTTCTAATTTCCAAATTTTAAAAGTGTTGTTATTTATTTGAAAATTTTAAAAGTGTCTCCATTGACTTTAAAACTGTAAAAAGTGTTTTTATTCATTTTAAAACGTGTTTGATTTTTTTTAATTCTTTTTAAAATTTGAATAGAAGTTTAAATTTATTTTAATAATCTGTAATCTTTAAATTCATTTTAATTTCAAATTTTGAAAGGTGTTTAAATTTATTTTAATATACTTAAATTTTAAAAGCTTTATTTTGAAATTTTAAAACCGTTTTTATTAATTTTGAAATTTTTTCATTCATTCATTTTAAACATATTAAAGTTTTTAAGTCATTTCAATTTATTTGTGTAATTTTCAAATCTTCTTAGTGTTTGAATTTATTTTTAAAAGTTTCCAATTTTGAAAGTGTTTTTATTCATTTCAATATGTTAAGATTTGATAGGTGTTGTAATATTTTATTTGTTAACTAAAATTTGTGCAACAGTTAAAACAGAATCAAGAAGGAGCATAGAGCGTTTCAAAATCAGATCCGTCACAGTCCTTCGAACATTTTAATTGAAATTTCAAAGTGTACTCGTGTAATCGAGCTGGATCACACTGTGCAAACTTAAATACGTGTCTTTAGTCTCCTTCGCGGAATTACAGCTGCTCTGATTGAACCGGTGGAGGGGGGTAGATTGTCGTGCAAAAAATCGTCCTCGAGATTAATAACTATTATGAAAATATTCCACACACGGACGCAGGAGAAATCCATTGTTATACACATTTGTGTATAACAATAGCAGTAAAAAAATTAATATAAAAGTTAAAACGATTTGCCAGTAGTTCCGGTTATCTCTGGCAAGTGGTTAACAAACGCTGTTAATGAAAAATATGAAACAGGGGAAAAATTGGTCTCAACATTTTTCGAAAGCAATCTTGTTAGGTCTGTTTTGTTCCAGCTAAAGAGTATGAACAGTAATGCCTTGCAATAAACAAATGTTTCTTATTTTATACTAGGCGCTGGTTAAAAAAATGGAAACTTCTTCTTCAGTTTTTCTTAGCGGCACACCCTGAATTTTATTTCATTCTTTAATGCAGAATTTAATGGCAAGCATATTATGCAAGTTTGCATATTTAGCAAAAACCATAATTATCTCCATTAAACTAGGGGGATATTATCAGTTCTTTTGAGTAGTATTAGTTTTCTCAAAAAGACATTTATTAATTAATGTTAATAACAAAG